AAACAAGCCATGAGAAATCCAATTCGCAGAGCGAGATGGTGACACATTTTATATGTACATATGGACGCACATACATAGTATGTACGTGGCGAGGCTTCTAACTTGGCTAAGAGCATAGAACCGCCAGGTCGATAGTAAAAAACTGGATTGTTTTGATCAACGCTGTTGATTGCTCTACAATAATGTTCTTATGATCAATGAAAATGGCCGCATAAGTAAGTAACGTCCAACTTCTGCGTTAACCTCGTATCTGCAATAGAGTCAGCCTAGAGATCGTAAAAAAAAAATTTATTACCTTCCACTAGGATGCAATAAACGAATTCTATACCTAATATGTGTTTTTGATTCAACTAACACCATTGGGGGTGCTCCACTTACTGCAGTTTTCACGTAAGCAAATTAAGTGAAAAATAATTTTTTTCTGCCAGTTGCCCTGAACAATTTCAAAACATGGAATTGGCATCTTTTCACCATTAGGTGACGATATGTTACTGAATAATCAGCATGGCTTTTTAGAAATAAATAAGTTATTTTTTACAATTTTAAACAGTTATGAATCAAATTTTGTATGTACATACAAACATATGTATTTGGAAAATTTTTATAGTCATTAAAAATTTGAAATTATGAATTAAAAAAAATTAAAAAAAGATGTTCCATTGTCAGGTGTGGGGTTCGAACCCACGCTCCCTCTCGGGAACCAGAGCTTAAATCTGGCGCCTTAGACCGCTCGGCCAACCTGACTACAGCAAATGTGTTGTCAAATTAACGACAAGAACCTAACAAGCCAAAAGCACTTACACAAAAGGGAAATTTATAGATTGTTTTGGTTGCAGTCTTTGCTAAATTTAGTGTAGTTGCTAATCAAGGGAAATTATGAAATGTTGCCAGTTAATTTTTTATGCTATAAAATTATAAGTACGGAACCTTCAACAAAAATGAATTCTAACGAATAATGGTCCTATTATGTATGACGACTGGGGTCTAGTTGCTGGTCTAGTAGCCATGGCTACCAGTATCGTAATTTGTATTATGTATAGGGATTAATCTCAGTATACAGAAAAGCACAGAAAATATCCGTATTTACTTTTTTGACATGAACTTTTCCAAGTAATTGGTGACTTTGCTCCGATGTGTTGAACAATTTATGTGAACAAATAACAAAATCATCGATAGCGGGAAACAGAAAATTCCGTTACTAGACTCAGTAGCCGACATTCAGTAGCCAGTAGCCATACGTAATGCGAATTTTAGTATACGGTTGCCCATCGGCTATCAGTCGCCATACACAATATGGCCATAAATATATGTAATTACACAGGCCTACGAAATCTAACTTTTTCCCCTTTCAAATAATTATGTTCTTATTTTGAATAACTAGGTATGTTAATTTAAAATAAAGCTTTGTTTTTTATTCTAGCAAGTCAAGATTTTTTTTTGTTGGTGTATGTAAATTTTAGAACTTTTAGCAATTTGCATGAAAACCAAATTTTCATTAATATAGAATTGCATTCTTATTTAAGTACAAACAGTATTAGTTGAAAATACCCACAAAGAGACTAAGTAAATCAGAAAAAACTTATATGATTTCGAAGTTAACTGTAATTTTTGTTTTTAACTCCGAGGAAAATGTTTGGAGCTTTATTGGAGTAATATTTGCGTTAACTATTGAAGTCAATCCAATTTTTTTACTACCACAGAATATACGTTTTACATTCAAAGAGCTAAGGTGTTCGTGAAAGTGGTGCAGCGGTTACCAAGATATACACATGTAATTGTAGGGTATTTTACTTATTTAAATTCTCTATTTTCAGTTTATGGTTCTATGAATTTGTTTGTGGTTAAAAAGAAAATTTTTTATTAATAAATAAACTTTCAACGAGATCAAACAAAAAAGGAAATACAATTTTTAATAAAATATCATATCTTGATATATTGTAGGGTATTTCAATATATCATTTATATGATATTTTAATGAGTAAATATATTTGGTTTAAATTTTAAGTTGAAATTTATTATAGAATAATCAAAAATTTTCCTATTGATAACAAACAAATTCATTGAAACATAAATTGAACATCAAGAATTTAAACAAGTATAAAAATAATAAGTGATCATAAGTGGGCGTGGTTACGCCCATTTACCAAAAAATTATAATATTCTTATTTTCCGTCTAAAGGTACATATCAATTTTGATTGAAGGAGCTTCAGCAGTTACTAAAATATCGCAGGTTCGTATATCTGAAAACTACCGTTATAAGGGAGGTAGGCGTGGTTATTGTCCGATTTTGCTTATTTTCCATACCATCCGTACACAAAGCCAAGTTTCGTTAAGACATCTCAATTTTTACTCGAGTTATCGTGTGCACAGACGGACGAACAGACAGGCACCGATTAAACGATTTCATTTTTCATTTTGATCATTTATGTATACATTTGTTTATATCTATCTCGATCCGTTACAAAACCGTTATGTGAACAAAGTTATAATACCCTTGTGCACAAGTGCGCTCGGGTATAAAAATCCAATTTTGGAGGCATGCACAATGGTGTCCACAATATCGTCGTCAATTTTGTATATACATATATGTATATTTATAAAAAAAATGTATGTAAAAAGAAAAATATTGGAAATACTAATTAAAAAAAAATGCTCTTTGTCAGGTGTGGGGTTCGAACCCACGCTCCCTCTCGGGAACCAGAGCTTAAATCTGGCGCCTTAGACCGCTCGGCCAACCTGACTATATGACATCTTCTGCACAAGTTCGCACTTCAACGCCAACAATTAACATTTTCACCAATGCAACTACAGGAATGGTTTGTGTCCATTATTTTTATAGTAGCAAAGTCTATAACCAGAACAAAAACAAAAGGAAGAGCACATGGAAAATGTCAACACTTCACTTTCCGCCATAGGCGGCTTTTTCATACACCAAATCAGAGAACTTCTCTGACCAAATATACAAGATCACGCAAGAACGCGACTTTGTGTTTGCAACTGGTTTTGAGAAAAAAGTTTGCGAAAGCGGGTTCGTCAGCTGAGCATTTGTTTGCATGTGCCCCAACAATTAAATGTTTTGTTATATTACTTACAGGTACATATATTCCGCGCTCGTAACAGAAAGTTCCCGACAATTTTTAAACACTTTTTGAATTGTGTACCGGTGTAGCCGGTAAATTTTGCTACCACCACTTAAAGCAAGATATTGCCCGTGAAATATGAAAAACGAAATTTCTACATGAAATCATCGCTGAATATGTATGTATAATTACTTGTTACCAATAAACCTAGAATTCCGGCAACAAGAAGTGGTTACAAGTTTTGGTAATAAATTTTTCAGGTTACAAAATATTCGGTAACGTCCAGAATAGGCAGGTGAATGAAAAAGTTTACTAGCATACATGTTTGTAGATGCATATTTCATTAGAGAGTGCCTAATTTAATAACTCTGTATTCGTTAGTTCATTCACAACTCGCTAAATTTTGAAGCATAAATTCCATACTTTTCTGCATGACACCGCAATGACATTTTAATCAATTCATACACAGTTTTAGTTTACGTTGTTCGCTGTGCAACAGCATAAAACATTTTCTTATAAGTTGTGTGTGCGTCAAATATATGTATCTGGATCAGTCCGGTAGCGTATACTCGAGCGTTGTGGGAACGTACAACAACACTAGGCTCATTAACTTCCGAGAAATAAAATTCTAGAAAAAAGTTCCGGCCATTCCAAGAAACTACTAATGATAATGCACTAAATATTAGGTATAAAGTATTTATTTTCCATGCTGCTTTGTATACTTAAAATTATAAATAGACATTCTTAATGTTTAATTTCTTCACTCTATTTTTCGCTAATAATAACAAAATCTAGTGGTTCTTTTATACTGTTATCAGTAAATAAATTAACATATATGTATGTAATTCATAAAAATTACTATGTTTCATATTTGTAAGTCAAAAATTGATCGCTGTTATTAAGAGAACATGTCGCTTGTTTGCTGGAAGAACGGCTTATTCCAAACAAACCAACGGTTAAGAAAAACGGCTCTTTTAGCAAACGATCAAAATGTTCATAATATAAAAGTACATGTGTTTATGCCACATATGTACATACATACATAAGGAATACAACAATTTTATTGTTTTCATGAATTATTCATTACTATGTAGTATTAGAGAAAGTAGACACAGGAGTTGAATGATTTTAATTGTTAATTTCATTTTAAATACTTGTGTGAATGAATAAGTAAGTATGCTGTTGTATAGGAATCGTATATTTTTACTGAGAATAGTGTGTAAATACTTCTTTTAAAACACATACGGCCCTATGCGGAATATCGTCATCGTCGACGATCTTCATCGCATCAGTAACATGGCTGACGATGGCCGTATCATCACTTTTACTGACGATGACGATATTCAGCATAGGGCCGATTGTGATATATGTACATTTAGTGATTCATATCGAACTGTAATGTTTCTAGCTAATAATTTTAGACAATTTGCATGCTAACAAAACGTTTAACATTTTTTAATATATACTGCTTGCGCACAAATTATGCTTACATTATTTTAATTTATTCAAGCAACTCATTTTATTGATTTAGAATCTGCAAAATTTCTATTAAGATTTTGATTTCTTGTAACTAACGATAAAATGGCTCTTTAAACTTTAGCAAATATGCTGCTAATTCTCAAATTTCATTAAATAAATTTCTCTTTCTACTGCAAAGTGCGCAACGACTGTAAATTCATTCAAGCAACTCATGCTAATTCTTGAAACTTTTTGTTTTCGTACTAAACATCGAGTAGCAATTTTCCAAATCTAACACTAATATTACATACTATATTTCCCTTGCTCTTGTTGATACGTTGAAAGCACATTGACCGACGGTTCTTAATTTATTTTTGGATATCAAAAACGTTCTTTTTTCTTTTTTTTTGCAAAAATACACATACAATTTAAATAATCATTTATTTAACTATTACTTTTGATTTAATTGCGATTTCAACTTAACAGTTGAATTTCATATAAATTGTTTTATTTAGTCTGCATTTAATTTTTTTATCATATATATATGAAAGTGGAACGTATTGAAACCTAAACGGTTTTCTTTACTTAATTGCTATTAGCACCCAGATTTTTGTATGGTTTACCACCGTTGCGCTCCCATTCACGATTGAATTCATGTTCCAAAATTTCAGCGCCGCGTTTGCGTGTCAGACCGGTCTCCTCCAGGCTAAGCTCGCACATTTGCATGTCATCAACACCTGCGTAGATTAGAAGAATAAGAAATATTTTATTTTTAATGCACAACTAATTTTATTTCTACGGAGTCACAATACTTAAAATTTAGATAATTAAACTTTCTCTATGTCCAAACTATTTAGGCATAGATATGTTTTAGCCTCAAAAATGTAATTGTTTACCTGCTACTAGCAAAATGGGTGGTTTATCAGCATGCAATTCCATTTGTCGCGCTATCCATTGTCCATCAAAGTGTGCGTACCAGAGACCGCGTTTAGCTGAAACACGGAAAAGCGATTCGACAACATTACTAAATAAAAATCATGTGGGTTTCAAATTTATTTAACTTACTATTTTCAGGCGCGTTGGCGCGCATGAATGGTATACGGAAATAACGGTGCTGGGCAGTTGTGATTTCCTGCTTGGGATGTGCTAGCGGTGGTGCCTTATAAGCTGTAAGAATAAAAACGGATATAAATTAAAAACTTATAGCAAAAGAATATGCAGATCTAAGTATAACTGGCGGATACTTAAAGTAAATAAGATTGAGCCACCAAAAAAAAAAAAAATGTGATTACCTTACCCAACAAACATCGAACAAATTTTTCTCCAACATTTGAGCAATATATAGCTTTAAAGTTGATATCTACCACATTTCTCTTCCCTAAACTTGCAGAACTAAGGAGAAATTTTTAGTAGTTGATATCCAACATATTTCTACACTTACTCTATTCTGCACGTTATCGAATATTTTGTAACCGAAAAAAACCCTTACCACTTTTTATCATCGTAATTCTAGGCACATGGTAGGAATGTTAGTCCCGGGGTACCGGCCTTTTTTAGGTCCCGAAAATCCCGGGATTCTTGGCAAATAATCGAAGGATTTTCGGGATTTGTTGAACTGATGGCAATAATAGAAATTCCTTTTCTTGCCCAGTATTGGCTACATTTCTTTTTTTATTTAATAATTAATATTTTGTCACATATAAATAGTAAATTTTACACTCAAAAATCAATATATTCGCTAAACAATGGGCTAAATATAGTAAAATAGCGTTTTTAGTTTTTCACTCTGATATCAGTAATTCAAAAATTATGTAAAAATTCAGTGAAATGTGCTTAGAGAAAAAGTATGGGTACCAAGAATTTAAACAGATTAAATATTTTGGTGCATACGTACTGGTATGTATTGAAAATGTCCTTTTAAAATTGTATCCTTGAAATTTCGGAATATTTGTTTTTGGAAAAATTATATGTTAAGGACTTATATAAACTCGATAACTCGTCCTTCTAACTTTATCAGCTTAAAAAATTAAATATTTTGCTGGCAGCTTATAAGATGGTAACAGAATTTACCGGTTACAAGAGTGCACAGAATACGATAAGAAAAGGGGTTAAACATCTGACGGGAGTTTTATTAAACGGCTACAAATTTTTTGTTACCAGTGCATAAGAGATCTGTTATTATCCAAGTTGATTATTGTTAAAGCTTTTGCAAATGAGGAGTGGATACACATTCTGTGACCAAGTTTTCCTGAGGAATTATCCATTTTGCCAGCAATTTAAGCGAAAAATCTCTTTTCCCCTTCTGTCATAAACTCAAATAAAAAAAATATAATTTTTCAATTAAATTGAATTGGTTAGTTATACAGTTCGGCAAAATTTTACCACCTCAGTAAAACTCATCGTTTCTGGTAGATTTACTGGCGCTGAATGCAAAACCCGGCCAAAATCGCTTAGGTGGTTGCAGCGCCAAATCAGAAGAAGAAGACATATCCCTAGTTTAGAGTGTACACTTGCACCCAATGCGTCATATTTTTTAATAGTATTTTATCACAGCTCCGTTGATTTGGCTAAGTATTTAATGTACAGTACCAGGTTGACCGAACTTTGCCCGGATTGCATATACTTTTTAAAGTTTTCAAGATTTGGATAGCTTTAAAAAAATATTTTGGAAAAAAAGGATTTCCATATCTATAAAGTAAATTCCTTACTGTAAAATTTAGGTGGCAACGCCATTCCGAAATACGCTGGAATGAATGGTACATATCTTGAGCGTATATGTACCAGAGTTGTGAAAAATGCATTAATTTCTTAATGCATTAATGACATTTGAAGCAATAATGTTAATGTACAAAATTAATGCATTAATTTATGAAATTTAATGCAAATGAATATTTCAATGCATTAATTCTGAAAAATGTAATGCCAATGAAATTTTCTTTCATTAAATTATCCAAGCTAATGTAATGAAAAATTTTTAATGCACTAAAATGTTTAATACTTTTGCTCGTTTGCATTATTAAAAACCATTAAATTGTTTTTCTAGTGAAATATAAATAACCTCTTTTGGAAGGACTTGGAATAATTACTAATAGTCTTTTCAGCTTCATTATATTATGTGTATTTGTAGAAAAATTCTTCTAAACATTGTTAGATGTTTTATGAAAATAAAAGCCAATGTGCATGAAACTCAGAGTGCTTTTGTAGATTTTTATGTTGATTGTTGATGCATACCGATTCATGGGCGTAGCCAGGTAGGGGCAGGGGGTGCTCGAGCCCCCTGAAATGCCAGCTTAATAGGGTCGAGACCCCCCTAAATTGCATACTGGCTACGCCGATGTACCGATTACATATACTATTACGAGCCAAAAACGGGCAGATAGCCAATTTAGCAGCGCATGTACACGACTGAGGACCTACTCTGATCTAAATCAATCAATAAACCGTTGTTAGTTCCATTTGACAATGTGTTTTTTACCTATTTAACCACAAATGCCATTGAACTTGACATAGTGAAAACCAGCCTTAACGTCCGTCACTATCTTTTTTGACCTTAAAATTCTACCCTCAACGTCAGCAAAGAATTTTTACTTAAAAAAAAAAAGTTTGTTAATGGGCTTTTAATGCTTGTTATAATTTTAATGCAATAAATTATTGCAATAGCATTCATTTTAACATTTAAATGTTAATTAAAAAAAAAAAAATTATTAACATTATTTCTTCGGAATTAATGCATTGAAATTTTCATTTACATTAAATATCAAAAACTAATGCATTAATTTTTTTCATTTACATTAAAATGCTATGCATTAAAAAAATTTAATGCATTTTTCATAACTCTGATATGTACTATGTATACATAAAAAAATATTGATTGATATTAACAAAATAAAAATTTGTATTACGTGGCAACCCTGATGGAAAATATTTTCTGACTAAAGTTCTCAACAATACCTTGCATTTGCTAACCATATTGCGATGTTTTAGATAAATTGTGTAGAATCGAACATAAGTGGCAACCTTACACTATTATCTTAAGACATAACATTTTGATATAAGGAAAGCATTGTTTAAGAACCTTCTCTTGGTACCCATGAATAGTAATATTTTACCTTTTTGTGCTAAACAAAAAATTAAATAAAAATGCGATTCAAAATAGGTGGCAACCTTATTAAAAATATTTTTGAATTAGGGATCTTTAAAATACCTTTCATTTGATACCCATGTTATGATGTTTTAGTTAATTTGTAACTAATTTCGAATAGGTGGCAACCTTATAGGAGTCTTCTCGGAGATATTGCCTAGTCAGATAACCTTAGAATTCAAAATATTATCTGTGTATCAAATTTCATCAAAAACGTTAGAGCTGTTTCCGAGAACCCTATGGATATATATATATATATATATATATATATATATATATGCAAGTATTGCTCGTTTAATGTAGTAAGATTGTACATTTGTCAAGAAGGTAGCTCCCGAAACATTTCCATGCCGAACCTTTTTCCTTAGGGCAAAGTTGCTTAATCTATTTTAGGAAATCAGCTATTATGTACATATGTACCGCTGTGGCTGGGTTCATTCAATTGCTGACAAACCATTGCACACATACTATTTTTCATAGGCGCCTATTTACGTGTATATATTTCTATCTGAAATTAATCTATGTACATAAATACACATATGTATGTCGCCGAAAGTAACATAGAGATATAAAAAGTAAAAAACATTATATGACATTCCATGCGTTATCAACTTTTATAGTTGTGTAGGATTATAATATAATTCGTCATGATAACTGCGACATTGAAAATATTTTTGAATACGAAAACAAAAAAAGTATCAAATAATAAAATATGCATTCACTTTTACTAAGAGGCTGTCATTGATAACTTGAAGCAATTTGCATTTTTAGTTTCCAGTCGTATAAGTGGCTTGATATGCGAGATACTTCAAATAAATATATCCTCGTTTAAGGTACAAAACCGCGTATCAAGAGAATGCAAAACTTCGTATGTGCGGTTACAAAAATTTTACAGGAGAAAGTAAAATCTGTCTTATTTCAAAACGATTCCTTCTTTTATCTGTACCTTATATCTAACTATTGATAATTTTGTATGAATGGATAAGGCTTGATGGCAGGAGGTTCCGGTGAGCAAATCTAGTTTGGCACAAAAGTCAGCTACGAGGTTTTGCAGAGCAAACGATACGCCGTTCTGTACTTTAAACGACGAGTAAAAATCCGAGTAAAATATCCGGAAGCGTGTCCGAAAATAGAAACAATTTCCTCGTTTTTTTCGGATACATTCTCCCCCTTGAGTTGCATCCGAAACGTATGTACAGAAAATGATTGTGAAACGGATACGCTTTCGGCCATTTTCCTGAAAACTTTCTGATTAAATTTTTCGTTGAAAACTTTTTCATTCTGAACAAGTGTTTGCCGAGCTTCTTCCGAATTTTCATCTTAACCTTTTTAACAGACCTTCACTTGTCGCGACAGTAGGCAATGCTAATGCTGCTGAGTCGTGAAATTTTATCAAATTTGCGACTCACGCATGTGGCTGTATAGTTCAAAATTAGATTTTGGGACTACATACTAAGAAAAATGTTCTAAGGCAGTTCGTTATTAGGAAAGGCAGTGTCGAAAATTGGACGGACTGTGTAGTAAATAAAATTGTGGTTATGCCTCGATACATTCGGGAAATAAAAAATTAAACTCACGACTGTCAGGTGCAGGGTTTGGTACCCATTAATATCCGAATAAAACGACTCGATATCCCATTTTCGATTTCTCTGAATAGGTTCTTTCCTGTACGCAACGCGGGATCACGCTGGTGCCCAAAACAATCCAGAAATCATTCGCGTACTCAACAAAATGGGTAATAGAGAGCGAAAATTGGAACGTATTGGTTCGTAAGTCTTTTTCTTCTCACCTAAAACAGCCTTTTCTCTAGCTAAAAATGGATAAAATGTCAAAGTGCATATCAGTTGTTTTGTGTTTACATGTTGGCTGCATTTGCTTGGTGCTTTTAAGGAATAGTGAATGGCCTGTTGATGTATTTTGAATCTTAAAATCAAATTTGTGAAACTAAAATTCCATTTCCAAGTCTTTGCATTTAAGTGACAAGAACAAAAACAACGTTAATCAGCTGTTTCTTAAATTCTGAGCACGGAATGTGGGGAGCTACTCTGTAATGCGATGCGAAAGAGAAATGCGATGCGATACGCAAATACGTCGTAAGCAGTGTTGCCGTTTTAGCCCTTTGGTGGTTAGATTTAGTTACCACAAATTCTTTTTGGGCATATAAATTTAAAATTGCCCCTAGCCCTTTGGAGAATTTACTCATACTTGGCATGAAAAAGTTGTGTATGCTTAATTTGATCTAATTTTTTTTCATTTATGCAAGAGATGAATTTTTAAACTAAGAAAGACTGATATATATACATATATTATTAACGAATTAACTATAGTTTAATATAGATAAGTTTACGGCCCTTAATAGGCTTAATTGGTTAAATGGCCCATCAAGTCGATTGACCGTGTATGTTCTTGTGGTGTGATTGTACCTGCTGCTCGTGCGACTTCAAAAACTATTTGAGAATTTTAAGATTGTACCAGCATGCTGGTAACGTGAGTGGTGAAATGATCTCACTGAAATTAGCTCAATTTTCTAAGTAAAAAATATTTTTGTGGAAATTTCTTGCACTATAAGAGTCAAAGCCGTGTTTGTGGAAGATTAAGTTAACGATATTGCAGTTGTGAATTAAAAAAAAAAAAAAATGTTTAACAAAATGGTAGTAAAATTATGAAATTTCGGCTCTAATCATTTCGATCTTTCCTCGACCTCATTTGTAAAGAAATAAATATTGTACCAGCATGCTGGTAAGTTATTAATTCGAGCCTGATGGTACAATCACTTGATGGAGCCAGTGAGCTGGTGTCGTATATTTCTCCTTTTATACAGAAAGTTTTTCGGTTGGATAAAATATCAGCTTTTTTTCCAGAGTTCATTATTTTTCTATACCATTACTTATTGAAAATGTTTGTGTGTATACTTATAAGCATATGTATATGTAAGTAAACAATTTTAGCTACCATTTTTAGCCATAACGACTTTATTTAGCTCTTTTTTAGCCCTTTTTTTAAAGGAATTTGGCTACCACTAAAAATTATTCGCGGCAACACTGGTCGTAAGTACTATGCTGGGGCGTTTGCCTATCGCATCGCATTTCCCTTTCGCGTATGTAAAGCGCTGTGGTGTAGTGACTAGAAGTGCGCAAACCTCCGCGTGTATTTCTGCCATGAAAAACAGCTTCTCATAAAAAAATACAATCGCCGTTCAGAGTCGGCGTAAAACTGTAGGTCCCTCCTCTTTGTGTGGCAACATCAAGGTGCAGCTCAGCCAAACATTAACATATTGTGTAGGCGCAATCTATTATTATTTCTACACGTAGAAATGTTGACTTAAAACACCGAGGCCGCGGGTTCAAATCCCGCTACATGCAATATAAACGATAGTACAAATTTCTGTTCTTTAAAGCCCAATTTATATCGGAAAGAATTGTGAATTACATTATCTTTGTAATTTGAGTTTATTACATTCAATACGATACTGGTGTTCTGGTACTCGATTCCAAAAATTATCGCTTTGAAACTATCGAGTAAAAAATATCGGTATAGAATGCCAACAGTATCGCATGGCATCGTATCATATCGAAATTTGTGTCCCTAATACAATATGAATTTCCATATATATATACTTTATGAAGTACTTGGACCAAGATTGCAGAAAAGTCTGCCAATGGGCTCGTTACAGCAATATTCTAGGGGGGAGGTCTTTGCAATCGATGTTCGCGAATGTCTTCGTAGAAGGACACATCGGGCCAAAATAAATATTGTGTCGGATAGTCAGCCAGTGTAAAAGCCATAAATTCTTGTAAACTACACCAAGGCTTGTGGACTCTTTAACCACCTGGGAGCCCACAATAGCGTAACGCTATAGTGGGTTCCAGGACATGAAGGGTTTGAAGGCAACGAAAGGGCTGACTGTAGGTTTTGTGGGCTGGTGGAGGCTCTAGGGTTCTATGTGTCTGCCCACGTAACATGAATCGTAGACTGATACACCTTGGAGAACGACTGTCTTCTCCATCTAAAATTTGGAATTTGGGCGGTGCTAAAGTGCTTAGCTTATTGAATAGCCTAAGGTTGGAGTGATTACAATTAGCGTTTAGCACAATAGATCTTCTTAGGTCGCATAAGTCTGTACAGTAAAATGAATTATTATACGCAGTTAATTTGTTTTTATTGTACTACATAGTTGTGTTTTAGTTTTACTAAATATTAAGTTATCTATATTTTTAATAAACTTGACATTGAAAAAGAATACAAGAAACTTGAAAAAAATTTGGGAGGTTTTGGTTGATTTCGGTAAGAAAGTTTTGGTAGGGGAAAAAATTCGGGTTGACACGAATGTGTACTGCACGCATGACGATGTCGCTTTCATATCGTATCACGTATCGCATCGCATATCGTATCGCTCTAATGTGCGCCGTGCCTAAAACTACCCCTAACTTAAAGCTTGCAGCAACAGCAAATTTTTCTAAACTGGGCTCGAATCGTAACATCCGTTCACGGATCGAAAACCATACGAAAGAAAAATACGTGATACATCAATCGTAAAAGCTGAATGGAATAAAGAGTACGTTCACGTATGTCACGTGTTTTTACGTGATGATTAATACTATATCGTATGTGACGATTCGAACCAAGGTTGCTTCAACTGACTGTGTAAGCAAAAACAAACTGCGCTGTAAGCTGCTGTTTGCTTTTGCTGATTTATTTGTGTTAGTCGTAGCTCAAGATCTCAAGTCGTAGATCAAGAGCTGCTTGCTTTAAAGAGCAAAAAGTGTTCCTTATGCTATTCTGCAGTCAGCAATTCAAGCCCTGGTTAGGTGTAGCTGTGCTAGGGGCAAGGTATTAAAAATAACTTTGACGCACTGGAAATAAAGTTAAGAAGATTTCGCAAATTTATTTAAGATTTTGTCTTACCTGCTTCCATTACGCTCTTAGGTGCGCGTTCATTCTCCTCCATAGTGGTGCGTTTACGGTTCTTTGCCTTCCATGCATGATATACCTTCAAACGACGATGAAACTCCTGTCGGCAAGCCTATAAAATATGAAAGTTGGTAACGAAAGAGTGTTAACATGTGGAAGCTGCATCACTCGCACAACTACAACTTACCTCAAGCAACTCAATATCACAAGACGTGTTTATTGCATCACGTAATTCCGAATATTTCCATTTGGATAAATCGTATTTTTGTTTACCCAACGCCTGTTGTTGAGCGCGAACATTCTCGGATCTGAGTATATGAAATTTTTTAAATAAAATTAATTGACGAGGAACTTACGCTGCATTTATGTAAGTATGTATGTATGTATATGAGCATGAAATGACATAACAATGTAAAACAATAGCAGCGTATGGATTAATAAACAAAAAATTTCTTAATCAAGTTATACATCGGATTAAATAGTAGTTGACTGAATTTTCAGAAATCTTGCAGTTTCAATTGCGCGGGCGTGTTGCTGGTGATAATGTGAAAGGTAATGTGCTTATTAGTGTGAAAATTTTGTTTGTTATTATAAGCTTTTATAGTGGGTGTGAACGTTTACATTGGTGTCAGAATATAATCATCACCGTCTGAACAAAATTGTTAGCGACTTATTTACAAAGCACATTTTTCATCTTTAATAATACGACCAATTTTATGTATTGCATTGATTTTATTTTTTTAAATAAACAATTTTAAAACATTTTCATTTTGGAAGTCTGAGCATATCTTTTTATATAACGCGCAGAAATTCGCTGATCATGAAAATTATGTGGGTCAGTTTAGCTTTGCAAAATCAAACGCAAATATGGGAGATGCAATCAAAAACAAAAATTTAAAACTTTAGTTATTTGAATCAAACGAACATGTTTTCTATAATTTTTCAACTCACTTATTAAAATATCGAGTTGCGAAGGTTGTAACACCTCGCGTAAAACTTTTTGCGTAAAAATAAAGTTTTGAAAATGTTAAAAAAAACGAATACATCGTATTAATATTTTAATCCAATATATTTAATAA